GCCACAAAACGAAGGCATCTTCACAAAATAATACTTCAAAAATTCTCGGTTTGCATTGAAAATAACACTAAATCAGGTTATGTTTGGCTTGTGTTTGCCCCTCAGCTAAAATTGCGGATCGGTTATGACGTCAACCTGGAATGCCTAATTGTAATATAATATTAATTCAATATTGGCATTCAATTTTTTATTGATATTTAAATTCACTTCAAAAACTTTGTACACCCAATATTTATTTTCAATTTTTTCACAATATTGATAGGTACTTCTTGAAAACCCCAATGAAGGGCCAATATTTACGTACTAATTTTCACCAAGGTTAGAATTTCTGAATTGAAAATGTTGGTCCAATATAGGGTATTCAACGTTTTTTCGGAGTTCTGTCAAGCAATCAAGTGAGGAAAACAGACTTTCCGCACGAGTTAGGAATTAATATTTGTACATGTATATGGTAATTTCGGATATTTTTACATTTCCGCAATACCTTCGCACTTGGTGTGCCGATCAAACAATAGATGGAGACTCTGTCTTCACTTTACCTGTCTTAAACCTGGTTCCGGGTTCACTGAGAAATTTTTTTCATTGTCATAGCTAATTTTTCTGCTGCCGTAGCCAAAAATTTTGGCTACATAGGGGACAGCCAAGATCTTTACTACCGCCGAAAAGATAACTTTACTGGCACCGTTTATTTGCGGTAGCATAGTGACTTTATAAAGAATTTACTCACAGTTTCTACAAGGTCACTTTGCTGGCATAGAAAAGCTACTTTGCTGTCGTAGGAAAGTAACTATGCTGTCCTAGAAAAGAGGTTATATACCCTCAAAAACATCCTTTTTTGCTATTGAAAAGTAGATTGCTAAGACAGAAAAGATATTTGTTGTTGTTATTAGAAATGCTTCCTGAAATAGGAAAGCCTTTGTCTCAGAACAAAAAATTTCTTGCCAGAATCAGCCAAGTGTTTTATTAGCCATGGGAAGTTATTTGTCTCACCAATAGCAAAAATATTTTGCTGGAAATCTTTGGAAATATGTAGTAGCGCGTCCATCATAACAAAACCAGGAGATAAACAAACTCTATTTAAACCCCTAAACTTTCATTACCTGATCTGAAATAATGTCAATTAATGAAAAGTTTGGCGCTAGAGTTGTTTCTGCTAGTTTTGATGGATGCGCTGGCACCATTTCCAAAAAGATTCCCAGCGACCGACACTCGACTTGACTCGACTGCATCCACGATCCACACCGTACGGCGTTAGCTACTAAACTAAAATGGAAGAAAATGAACACGAAACATATTTTATCGGTTATTTTTGGACCCGAAGAAATCACGGAAATGTCCGAACGGTATTTTTAGTTAAGTTATTTGGCTAGGGTAGCAAAAAACATTACTGTAACAATAACAAAAATTACAGAATTTTTTTTTGCTGCAACACTAAAGTATCTATCTATCTTAGAAAAGTTCTATTTCGGAGAAACAGAAATATTTTCATAAAATTTTAATTTTGCTATAACAGCAAAGTTTGGTTCTGGAATAAGAAATATCTTTGCAGTTTCAATAAAGTAGTTTCAGCAAAGTGGTCTTTTCTGTAGAAGCAAAATAACATTGCTATCTCTAAAACATTTTCCACTGTAACAGCTAAAAAAAAACCAGCAAAGAATTTTCTCCTGGGACTTTTCTCAGTGTTGAAGCCAAAAATTGGTTGTTTTTTCTCTGCGGGACCCTGGCGGGACTTAACCGTGCTGATGAGTTGTGATACAGCGAAACGAGTCCACGGATGGTCCAGCAGAGAGAAAACACTTCTCAGTCGGTCCTTATAATTGGTCCGTTTCCTTAATTAAATATAATATAAAGCCAAGATTAACATACGTCTTCGGACCAATATTGGTAATTTTAATTGGCTCTATATTGCATAAAGTTTTTGATATGATATTGATTATTTCTTTATGGGCCAACATTTGGTTACGTTATTGTACCAACGTTGGTATTTGTTTTTGGGTATATATTGACATACGTTCTTGGACAAATATTGCAGAATGTCCACATCTTTTATAAGACCAACATAGAGAATCTGACTTGGGCTAATAAATCGTAGTTATTGTCCCAATATTGGCCCAACATGGGAGTGCTGCTTGGGATGTATCAAATAATTATCTACTACTAAAAAAAACGTCTCTAACTAAATTTATCTAAATTGTTCGATGTGCCTTCCATCCTGTTCAATATATTGTTGGCATCTTCTCTGGACAGCATCACAAACATGATGGATAGTGTTACCATTTATAGAGATTAAAACATTACGAGTTCTTTCCTCTAATTTCAATATTTTCTGGGGATTCAAACTCATAAATCTCGTTCTTCGAGGTTCCCCATAGGTAAAAATCCAGAGGCGTGATGTCTGATGGGGACCTAGCTGTCCAGAGAACTGGAACGTCATTAGAAATTATTCGGTCTTTGAAATTTTGCCCTAGAATTCGCTGAACCTCTCTCTAGTATTATGCGCAGGACAACCATCTCGCTGAAACCATATTCCTCTAAATTTGTTTTCGGGATACAGAGTTCTTAAGGCTGGTATAATTTGATTGTTCAGCTTGTCAGCATACCCGGCTCCATTTAAGTTTTCATGGAAGATGAAGGGGCCAAGAAGATTTCCGTCTAATTGTGATAATAAGATTCAGTTCTATTTTAAAAAAAAGATGAATTAGGATGATGAACCTACCCATCAATCCGCACCATACATTAAATCCGAACCGAATTTGCTTTGTCCGGTCCGCTACATGATGTGGGTTTTCGGTAGACCAATGCTTTCATATAGGTACCTACTATACTGACTGAAAGATCATATTGAAACAAAAAAATAAATACAGTATGAAAGTCTGATAAACAAGTTTTATTTGCATACAAATTTAGGAAAATAAATTACTGTAATGTAATAGACCGTCCAGATAGTGACATATTTAGGTGCCCCATTTTCGCATACAAGCCTCGAAGAGGGTTGAAAAGTTCATCAATTTTGAGTAGGATGAAGGTATTTTCATGAGTGGCTCCTGAGGATAACATATGAAAAATTCGATTTTACTTATGTTACCCTAAAATGTACTTTTCCATTCGCGATACTCAAGCCAACATGTTTTTTTGCTACCAACTTTGTAGCTTTTTATCCTTCCGATGGGCTTGTGTGGAAAAATCGCCCAAAATCTCGATTTTTCCTTACAAGATTACGCCCTTATTTCAAACCTTTAGCCACCTGCAACACCCCCTTTTTTGTTTTCACGAAGCCAGGTTTTATTATTCAATCCTTTGGTGACACGGCTAGCGAGAAAATATGGGCACCAGGGACGTCTTTCATTTCTGTCATGGAAAATCGAATTTTCCATACGTTATCCCCAGGAGCCACCCGTGAAAATACCTTCATCCTACTCAAAATCGATGTACTTTTCAACCCTCTTCGAGGCTTGTATGCGAAAATGGGGCACCTAAATATGTCACTATCTGACGGTCTATATTTACAGTAATAAGGTGTTGCTCCAGGTTGTGGTAAATGAAAAAAAAAAAAAAAAACTTTATTCGAAAGTTCCAAGAATAACATCAAAATCAATAGATAGGTACACCAGGTAGAAACAAATGGAAATAATTCTTACTTCTAGGTAAGTAGCAAGAAATAGGTAATGATGAAAATAAACTTAATTCAAGGTTATTCCTCCAAAAAAGTTATTATCTATTTTGGATGGATAGGAAATTAATAAAGAGTTCGACAGGTTTTTATCAGCACGCAGAGATAAGAACTAAGATGGTGGAACGACTGCATGGATTGGAACATGAAACGAAGCGAAGCATGCACAGCGCCATGTATGACACTACCGGTCGGTACAAAATTGAAAATTCCACGAGCACGAGTAACAAAAAACTATAACGACACTCTTCCTATCTGCTCTGACCTCTTAATAAATGATGGAGAACCTCCACTACCGGCACTACCGACCTCTGAATGGCCGAAAGACCCCCTAAACCGTTCCGGAAGCAGCCGGAAGCATTCTTATGAAAATTATTTCTACTAGGGCAGTGAACATCTTTATATATACCTACACTAAAAATTATGTTTGAAAAAGTTTTTTCTTGACGTAGGCATATGCATATGCTTACCCACCCCAAAAACTTTTTTCTTATAGCAGGAACGTACTTTGCTATGGTGAACGTGAAACATATACAAACACTTTTATTAGGGACAGCAAAAAGTCTTACTACTACAATAGAAATAGGCAGTAGTAAAGCGCGTTTCACTACCACAAGAGATTAACTTGGTGATTTCACCTAAAATTTCTGTTGGGATAGCCGAAAATACACCAGCAAAGAGTTTTTGGCTGGAGACTTTCTCAGTGAAGTGTCCCCATAAATAAAAATCAAGTGGTGACAAGTCAGGCGGTCTTGCCGGCCATTCGACTAACTCTCTTCTTTCAGTCCATCTTTCTGGAAATGTTTCGTTAGGGTATTGTTGGACAAGAAGTGTGTATTGAGGAGGAGCACCATCTTGTTGGAAAATTTCATGTTTTCCTATAAGCCATTTGCATCATTTTCTATTACTCCGACTAAGGTTGAGTGAATAGCATCCTCCAACAAATGTAAATACATTTCCACTGTGAGGTTTCCAGGAAGGAAAAAAGGTCTAATTATATAGTTTCGGGCTATAACCAAAGAGAACATGTAAATATACCTAGTAGTGCCGACACTTCAGTCTGGTATCGAAAAGTAAAAGTAATATTCCTAGAGTGATTGAGAAATTCGTGTATGAAATAGCTTAAAAACTACCATTTTTTTCCCACAAAATTCGCATTCGGAATTCGTGATTCGCATCTATATAAACTATGCTATAGGTACGTGCGGATTGAATATTATCGCCATTTCTGCAGATGAACTAATTTTTTCGATTTTCATCCATTTAGAATAGACTACTGAACGCTTCAACATTTTCTGTGCAAGGAAACTTTCTAGTGAAACCAATCAACTACACTTACATAACTTTATTATATTTCACATATACAGGCTTAAACTAAATACAACGTATCTAATACTTATATACAAATTATATTTTACAAAAATATGAAAATTACAAATTAAAAACTGAATAAAAAAATATTCATTTACAACAGTCAGATTCTTAGTGGATATTCCTACAATAATGAATATCGATCATCATTAATAAAATCATATGAGCAACAGTCATTTTAATAATAGAATATTGTTTGCTTCAGCGATAGTGACTTTTCATACGAGGTGTCCGTTTTTCGAGGTCGACAATTTGGATCTCAAATCTGCGGCAAACAAGCGCAATTTATCTAGATCAACAACAAAATCATTTTATGGAAACATTCCATATATTTACAAAATTCCGCCGGAGAGATAATTTTTGTTTAAAGATAAGTTTGATGATGTTCATCAACCAAAGACAAAACATCGGATTTGTAATTTGATTGTGTAGAGAGAAAAAATAAATCAGTTTCACATTTTTTTTTGTGTTTTTGGAAGTATTCAGAATGTTTCAAATTTCGAAGTGCCATTGTGAAGAAATTGCGTAAGTTTGCTTCAATTTAGCCAAAGCTGTATTTCTCATCATTTCCGAAATTCCAAGACATCTAGTAATAAAGTTTTAGTACAGCTTGATCTAATATTGAGGATCTGGTGAATAATGAGTAATAGAATTCAAGGTACTTTGAGGTGGCCTATTTTGAGCAGAACCTCCTATAACATTCCTAGTTTCAGGATATGGTGGAGCGGCTTGCTTCTGTTGAAGGTTCCTTGCTTGGGAACCTAACATAGCATATACTGATTCAGGTCTTCGGGTTCTTGGAGCTGGTGGGTTATTCTCACTGCTATCTGAACTCGATGGTGGGTTAGGTCTGCTCCCATAAGGAATATCTGTGGTAGCATAATTGTCGCGCCTTTGTCGATCATTGGTTGCATAATTATCTCTGGTCTGCTGTCTTTCATTGGTTCCATAAGTATCTGATCTATTTGAACTAGTGCCAGGAGTAACACCTCTTACTCCATAAATTTCGGATCTCTGTTGTAATTGATTATGGACGTTTTGATTTTGAAGATGATTTTGCTGATTCAGTTTGATTGGATAAAGAGATTGAGCTGGTACTAAAGGTCCTGCTTTGGGTAACAATTCTCTGTTGATAGCTGTATTAGATTTTGTATATACAGACTGAGATCTATTCAAATTTGCTCTTGTTAAAGGAGGACTTCTACACAGTGATTTTGTACCACCGTAAATCGATTCCACTCTTTCAAGTCGTGTGGGCGGTGCAGAAAACAAACTGGGACAATAATTAGTTCTTCCTTCGATTGCAGTAGTGGAGCGATAGGTATTATATGTAGACCCATGAAATTTTGGTGGCTGAGGTTTATCTAAATCATCGTAATTCAATTCATCATCTGATGGAATGCTGGAAATGTCTTCTTCGTGCTCTTTTTTCGCTTTCTTCACTCTATTGGGGTTAAAAATATATTCATATGATATTCCAGAAGCAAGGCCACCCAAAAGAGGACCAAGCCAATCGACCCAATGTCCTTCCCATTTGTTCAAGACGAAAGCTGGTCCTAGGGCTCTTGCAGGATTTAGATAAGGCATCTGGAAGAAAAAAAAGTATTGTATAATATTCTAATTTAATGCATTTCCTTGTGGTTGTTGATGCGAACATTTTAAGTAAAATTGGCCAATATAGGTACTTTGGAATAGAAATAAATAGGAAAATTAATCAAAAAGTTTATCGAACTAAGCCTAAATGACCACAGCATTTTCCAAAAATAGCTCGATCCTTCGAAGCCTGATTTGAAATACAATCAAGCAAAACATTTTATTGTTCTCTCGTCAATGTTGCGAAAACTGAACATAGGTCAGTCCACAGGAGAAAAATCCAGTGAGGTCTGGATAGGCGATCAAAACCGAAAAAAGTAAAAAATATAATTTTTTCCCGATATCGCGAATATATTTGCTCTATATAAGAGTAATCAAGTAAATTCAAATTCAATTTTACATAACTTTAATAAGCGAAATTGTTTTTTGTTGTTTATCTTTTGTTCAAAACTAATACTTATTTCGGGTGGTCAGCTTAGTGCTGATGGCAAAAGAATATTTTTTTAGCTTTCAAAAATTTAGATATTTGAGGATCTGAAAATATGAGTTTCCTAGGAGCATAATTTTTAATGGCCTATATATCTTTAGGAAAGCACTTTCCAAATGTTAAGAGCCAACTTGTTATTTTCGGCTTAGGCGGATTTTAGAGTAGGTAGGTATGATGAATCTGCTATCTATTATTATACCTACTCTTTATCGTTCTCGAATACTTCATACTCAGACTTTATATCATCATATTTTTATATATGTGCGAAGAAGCTTTCATCATCTTAGGAGACTTGGTTTCAATAATAATAATAAATAATGGAAGGTTCATACAAATCGTATGTTTATGTTTACTTGTCTAGTACCAGCAGCTCATATTTTTTTTCCCTCTATATGTTTCATCTGAATTAAGCAGGATGTCATCTGAAAATCTCAGGTTAATTCGAGCTTTATTCATTTTAACTTCTATGTGGATAATATACTCTCTGAGACGTTTGGATTGGTAAAGTGGCATGTTGGCAAAGGGCGTCGATTCGCGTTGTGTGATGGTGCAGTTACCTAATTTTTGCTTATTTCTCGGTTGTTTCGGCCGAAGTCGAACAAGGCTAAATAAAAGGGCTGGTAATATTTTGATCGAAATCTCTCAAATTGGGGAAATTGTCCAACACTGCTTGATGACTAGAAAATTCGCGAATGGAATATTAGCGCGAAATAGTCCAATAAATTCGAAACGAACGGAAGCGAATTATCTAGACAAGTATAGAAACAACGGTAGGCTATAAAACGGATTCGGCCGCCGAAGGGAAAAGATCAGTGATAAATTAGACGCCAATGTGGCGTGTGTCAAAAATCAGTTAGTGCTGAGCGATGTCGATGGAGAAAGAGTTTGAATGCGACAGTAAGGCGATCAATTATAGGTAGTTTTGCGAATAGTTGAGCTTAATTTGAGTAGTTCAAAGTGTTGTAGTAGTGTACCTATTTCAAATTTACAGATAAGTGGTGTACCTATATCCTCTGCGTTTCGTCAGTTTTATTCGTTGGTGTGCTGTTTTTAAAGAAAAGAGTTTCCGATAGTGGAAGTATTTATTTCTGGTTAGTTCAGAGTGTTCTGCTCATATCATCCATCAAGTTAACAATTTAAGCTTTCCCTCCTGCTAATATCAACCTTGGCCTTTGTTTTGTATCGATTATATTTTCCTTCGTTTTCCCATTGTATTGTGCTGCGTTTGCAGTAGGTGTTTCTATTTCATACATAAGATATAACCATTAACTGTCATTCCGAAAAATTCTATTCAAGCAATGTTTTTGCTTGATCATTGTGTTCGATTAGGCGGGTGACGCACTGGAGAAATGAGTTTCATGAAACTTGAGGCTCAAATTTTATGAAACCTATAAGTATTGGTGCAGACCGCATATTGATCTTCAACCGTATTGCCGCTAGAGGGTGTTTCTCGATTTTGAGCAATACTGGTGAGAGCTTGTTTACCAATTTTACTTAGGGTTTCCATACGTCCGGATTCACCCGGACATGTTTGGGTTTCTAGGGTGTCCGGGGAAGCCCGGCCGGAATTCGGAAGAATGTCCGGAAAACTCGGAGATCGTGAAAACAACCGAACTTTGTTAAATACATATTTCAATCGTTACGGTTATTTATTAATTCCTGTAAAAATGTATTTTTACAAAAAATAAATAAAATTCATCCTTCATAAAAAATTTAAATTATTTTTTTCTAATACCTTGCGTAAAGTACTCACTTTACGCGCTATTCAAAAGACGTAAAATGTCACTTCACGCACTAGTAACGTAAAGTAATTCACTTTATACTAGTGCGTGAAGTAATGTCAATGACAGATGTCGACACTGTCATTTTTTTCTAGTAAATTATTTCACTTTACGCACTAGTGCGTAGAGTATTTGTCTAAATTCATTTTTTTACACATATTTTATTGGTAGTAGATTTCTTTTTATATGCGATACGTGTGTAGAGTGGACCTTTTTGCACTCATGTGATTGTCGCAGTCGCCTTAAAAAAGGTTCACTTTACACACTTGTTGCATAAATAGCTATTTCGGCGAAGTCCGGATTTTGTCCGGAATTCTTGACTTCTTTGTCCTGAATTCTAAATTTCGAAAAACCTTTATGGAAATCCTAATTATACCTATAAAATATACTTACAAATACAAAGGAACAGGCACAGTAAGTAGCTCCTATGGTAATGGAATGTGTTCCAATCCATTTCCTGTAGGTGTCCATTGATATGAAATACGAAAACACTACCAGGAATGTCAACGTAAACTCAATTCCGAATCGTTCCCACGAAGTAAAAATATTAGTCGGATGTCCAACCGCTGACGATAAATTTTCTTGATAACCGTGGTATTCTGGTACTGTGACTCTGAAAATAATAAAACAATAATTAGTTAAAATAAAGTATTTAAACCAAATGTAAATAGGAAATATTAAGAAAACACTCAGCATAGAGATTTTTTTTTGTAAGGCAGTAGATATAATTCCACATGTGGGTGATCTACATGACGCCATCTTATTGGCTCCTTCTGGCGTACAGCTGCTGAAACTTGATTCCCATTATTGACTCCATTAAAATACTCTCGCTTGCAAAAGGCTAAAATAGGATCCTTAAGAAATATTTGTCGGTTGTGTTTATTACAAAATAATTTGATTAAGCTAAGCATTTAAAGTGAAACAAAAGATAAAATTCATTTCTTCTATTTACGAAAATATTTTATAAATATTTTACTGTTCAAAGGTATTGTAGGTCACTACGCAATTACATAATTTTCACTTCTGGCCGTTTCCACCAACTATTTTAGGAAAGCCTTAACGATAAGTATTCCTTAAACTGACATTTCTCCATGAAAGACTGTCATTTTAAGGAATATGTACTTGGTATTAATGCAATGCTTCCCTAAAATAGTTGGTGGACACGGCCATTAGACCTTAACAATATAGGAAACGTTTTTCGAACCTTCTTTGATCAAACATCGTTGTCTAAAAAAAACCATGTTTGTTTTTCCTACAGAAAATTGATACCTACATAATTTAAATCTAATTTATTTATTAAAACATAACTTTTTTCTTTTGTCAGACATTGTATTGCTAGACAAAAATACACCAATGGCCAAAGAAATTAAATTTACCTCCCCTGCTTGCCAAGGATGGAATCTTGAAAAAAAAAAAAACGACAGATGTTGCATGTATCCCTACATTATTAAAATCTCCCAGGTAAAATTGCATTCAGGTAGATGAACGTCCTTTTTACACTGGCCTTCTTTTGTATAATAAAATTAAGTACCTACTCCTCTCTTTCCTCTCTCTTCACAAAAACCGGATCGGTGGTACCCTCTGAGGTGGCCGCCCCATATTGGTCACGCACAGAGGCCCAATTTATTGTGTCCTAATTTTTGTCAATGATGGTCTGCATGCTGACATTAGTGAAAAAGATTCACGGAATTATGGAATCGAGGCATGCCACAGTTGCTTCAGGCAAAAAAAGTTAGGATTAGACACCTCCTGATGCATACCTACAATGGATAACTCTTGATGCAGAATTTTCAATAATCACCCTAAGAAATTATGGAAACAAGACGTATTCTCTTCAGATGTGAAAACTCCCCACAAAAATAGATAAAAATAATATTACGATTTAACTAATTTTCTGCTTTCAAACACCCAATGTACGCGGGTTAAAAATACACAAGGCATAATCAAAGATAAATTTTCCAAAAATCATTATGAAAATTCGCAAATGCTACTGAATTTTTCAGCAGCTTCGTGCAATTTCTCAGGAGCATACGTATAACTTTCAGAATATTTTGTTTACCAGATTTTGAAAATTAATTACGAATACGCATCCAATGTATTTAGTTTTGATCATTTTCAAATCTAAGACAACGATTTTTATTTGTTCGATTTGTAAAACTCAAGACTAAAAAAAAAACTAATTCTAAAAGAAGCGAATTTTGGTGACAGTTAAGAAATCTATTCACCCGGGTTCATATAAAAGGACTGTATATCAACGTTTTTCCTAGCAACATTTAGAAATCATCAAGCAGTTTTCAAATCTTCATCCATTAACAGGTACCTACTTCCGCCGTCTCAAAAACAGCATTCGGTCATTTAAAAACACAAAAAGGAACTTATAAAGTTTGGTTTTATAGGGCTGCTAAATTAAAGGAGCCTTATAATTTACACAGATAGCTATCTTACAGCCTTTGTTGGGTTCTTGATCCGACAAAATTTTGCCTCCCTTATTATCATCAAATACAGAGGCTCCCAGGGTGAAATGTATCTACTGTTATGTAACGCCACTGCTTCGCCATTGCTTTGCCACTACTGCAGGCCACTGACTTGCAGCGAAGAACGAAACTGCTTCATCAGCATACCGCTTATTCAGCATAATTACTTAGTTTATAGGAATATTATTTTTTAACACCATTCTTGAGCCAACTTTATTGAATTGTACACCGTACAGCAAAATATTGTCAATCGGGTCTAGAGTAGGGTATCTAGTAAATAAGTTTTGATGTGTAATTTGTTTAAATAAAAGTTACAACGAATAATTGGATGCCAAGAGACTTGCTTCTGTTCCCTAACTAAAAGAACTTAACAAATTTTGGCGACGAGGATCGGATTAGGGTGAAACGAACAGCTTCGCAGTTTGATATCAATCGTTCCAGATTGCATCTGCCACCCAGCATCGTAAGTAGACAAGTTTTCAGAACGCATTTCTAGATTTTATTTCGTACTTATCATCATGCCTATTGTACCTGATACCCGAAGTCAAAACAGCTCACGTCCCGATTCCCCTCAAGAATCCGTAAATCAAGATCACAATGATTCAACTCCAGATAATAATGCCAATAGCGCTCCTATTCATGCTATGTCAGATATTCGCGCAATTATTTCAGAGAATTTTGATGGCGATCGCACCAAACTCTTTGATTTTTTACAAGACTGTGGTCAAGCATGGACTCTTTGCCGTGGTCCTCAAAAAATTCTCCTAATATCTTACATAGAATCCAAACTCAAAGGATCCGCACGCGCTCAAACTAGATTCAAAAAATTGTATGATTTCGATGAAATTCGAGACTGTCTAATTGAACTATTTGGTGATCGACGAGATCTTTCTCAAATCTTAGAAGAGTTAAATACATTAAAACAAGGTAAAACGGAATCAGTGCAAAGTTATTTTAATCGAATAGAAACCCTACAAACATTGGCTCTAAATGCCTCTTCTTTCCAAAATCAAAATGAATCAGTGGGTCGAATTGCTATGATAAAGGAAATAGCTTTGCAACGATTCATCCTCCACTCAAGCGACGATATTTCTTGTTGTTTACGTAGAGCTAAACCTAGAAATATTAATGACGCGCTCACAGAAGCGATCATAGAAGAAAAACATTTGCTTGCCAGAAGGTCTAAATATGTCAGCAATTCTTTTGAAAAATATTGCAGTCACTGTAAAAGGAAAGGTCATTCATTTAAAGAGTGTTATTATAAAAATCGAAACACCGTTCATTTTAACTCAGCACAAGGGCAAACTTCTCATACCCTTCCAAAAACAAATTCCAATCCAGATAATTCTGCTAATTCAAATTATAACACAAAATTCTGCAACTATTGTAAGAATAAGGGTCATACTATTACAGAATGCCGCAAAACGGAATATAATAATAAACGAAAAAATTCTATGTCCAATGCAAATAATCAGCAAAATCAGCCTTTAAATGCCAAACAGTCCACAGTGAGTGTCACATTGTTGGACTGAATAATCAAGATTCTGGCACATCTCAAATCGAAAGTAAAAATACTTTCAAAAACACACAACGTAAAGTTGATACTTGTTCTGACAATCAATCAAAAAACCAAATATCTACCGAGACTGAAGCATTCTCATATACTATCAGCTCTAATAATAACATCTGCTACATTTATCTACTTCATCTCGATAAAGATGGAAATCTCTTTAATTCCAAGTTATTGTTAGATACTGGTTCTAATGTCTCGTTAATTAAAACCTCTAAATTGAAAAATACAAATTTGCTCTATAATCCTTCGGAGACAATGTCATTAAACGGCATTAATCCCAATGCAGCTGTAAAAACTGTAGGCAGCACATTTTTAGAGATAAAATTGCAAAATATTACTATCGAGAAGAAATTTCACATCATTCCAGGAAACACTAATATTCCGTTCGATGGATTAATTGGCAACGACCTTTTAAAATCAGAAGACGCTGAATTAAATTATGAAACTCTCGAACTCAAATTAAAATGTCTTTCATTACCATTAAAAAATATATCTAAACTCGAATCCAAGTAATGATAACGTAAACTGTAATTATATCCTACAGCCGCGATCTGAAACCATAATACGCATAAATGTCATCAACGGCAACAAAGTAAAAGAAGGTTACTGTTGTGATGCAGTAATCTTAGATGGAGTATACTTAGCAAAAGCTATTTTAAAAGTTGATGAAAATAATACTGCTTTAACTACTATCGTAAACACTTTAGAAAAAACCGTGCAAGTAAACTTTATCAACTTGGAACTCGAGAAATTCCACGAAGATCATTGTTTTATTTTTAATGCTACGCAATCAGAAACATCCAATTCTCACACGGTTGATCGTATTTCCACGTTAGAAAATAATTTAAGATTAGAACATCTTAATTCTGAAGAAAAATTGTCAGTTTTGAATCTTTGCCGAGAATTCAATCATATTTTTCATTTACCAAATGATGACTTGTCATTCACTGAAGCAATTCAATGTAAAATAAATACGACCACTGATACCCCAATTCATTCCAAAATTTATAGACTTCCAAAATGTCACGAAACTGAAATTTCAAACCAAATCGGAAAAATGTTGAAACAGAAGATAATTCAGGACATCGCAAATGGCGGATTGTAGTCGATTACAGACGACTTAATGATGTCACTGTAGGCCAAGTTCAGCCAATTCCAAATATCGACGAAATACTTGACCAGTTAGGACATGCATCTTATTTTACAGTTCTGGATTTAGCCTCAGGCTTTCATCAAATTAAAATGGATCCAGAAGATGCTCCCAAAACTGCTTTTTCTACGCCTGATGCACATTATGAGTTTTTACGAATGCCATTTGGTCTCAAATGTGCTCCAGCGGTATTTCAAAGATTAATGAATACGGTTTTAACCGGACTTCAGGGAAATCAATGCTTTGTCTACCTCGATGATCTAATTGTCGTTGGATCAAATGTTTCTGATCATGAAGAAAAATTAAAACTAATATTCCAGAGATTATCTCAAAACAATTTAAAACTACAACCTGATAAATTTGAATTCATGAAAAAAGAAGTAATTTATTTAGGAAACAAAATTTCGGAAAATGGC